TTAGGTTTTTCTAAAGCACTTTCTGGCAAAATTGCTTGCTCCCAGTCAGGGGAAAACAAATACTGGGACACCAAGGGTGGTGAAGGTCAGAATTAATATGATTTTACTAATTAGTCGATCTGTACAAGTTTGCCCTGCTTGCACCTTCACTCTCACTGCTTATAATCAGCTTTCCTTTAATGAAGTGCTTAGATGTCCCAGCTCACTAAAATTCCAAATAATAATAAAGCATACATATCATACTGTAAAGATATAAAATATATGCTTTAAAGAATATCGATCTGGGGGCTGCTCTTCTCTCTCTATAGGTCAGTAATTAATCATATTTCTCAATCCTAAAGTATTTTTTGTTCAGCCATTCTGGGGGAGGCAAATACTTAGAGACAAAAATGTATGACAATCATTTAGTGTCCTTGAACAGCATTATTATGAAGAAAGTGTAGAGAGTTCTCATCTGCAAGATATTCAACATCAGTAATCACATTTCTCGTGAAGACAAATAAAAGGGAATTGCATCCAGGTGTACATGTATACTCAGCTCCCCAGTGATTTGCTACAAAGATCTCCCCAAAGGCACTTCCTGATTTCTGGGCAGGGTCAGCAGCAAGGCAGTTTGAAAGGCTGGTGTGATTGGCATCTGGATTCTACAATAGTCAAACCTTCCCCCAAATGATCGTGGACCTGTTTTCACTAACAGGAAAACAAAGTGACAAGGAGAGAGAGGGTCACCTTTGGTATGCCAATCTGAGATGTGTTTTAGTTTGCTGCTTTTACCAGGTTCCATTTGGATCACTATCTTTACAGGGAAGGGCCAAATTCTTTGTGTAAGCCAAGAGATTTATTCTGCATTCTTAAGAAAAATATGAGAATTTTTTTTCTCCAAAGACACAAAATACCTTTTTTTTTTTTTGGTGGGGGGGGCAAAAAGGAGGGGCTGTGCTCTTTGTTATTCCTATTTGGGGAGGAGAAAGCCCTGTTAACCCCATGTGACCAGGAAATATTTCACCTTTAGTATTCCTGTTTTTCTGGTAACAAGATTATGAAGTTACTTTAAATTGGCCTTGATACCATATGATATAACCTAAGAATTGAAAATACTATATTCTATCACTAAGTTCTTCAAATTAGTAAAGTAAATTTAAACTAATCTTAAATCATTTTCAACATAATATTATAAAAAGGAGTCACAATTGAACATGATTTGAAAGTGTGTATTATTTAAGCCCACAGCAAACTTGGTAATAAGCTTTATCTTGTATTTCTGTGATTCTATTTTCCTCTGACATGAAATTTCAGCAGTCAGAGGCCTCAAGCAGCCAGTACATGATTAGACTCACAGAAAAAGTAGTTTGTTCCATGTCTCAATATTAGGTAAGTTAACTATTTTTCGTAGCAAAATGTAGTATCACATTTTAATATGGAAAATTGCATGTTATTCAATATAACATCTAGGCAAACATATTTTGTATGGGTAACAGCAAATGAATGAATGCATTTGATTACATAAATTACAAGACTCTTATAGAAGCTCTTAGTAGACACTTAACAAATATTTGTTCACCATAGCGAACTCAAAACATCAATGATTGTTATCTGTGTGGCAGACACAAAGCAATGTCCATTAGGTAGACTATAGCCTTTAACTCCCCCCTGCCCCCGACCTGTTGCATAGCAATACTGTGGGTAGCAATTTTTTAAAGAAAAGCAAAAAGACACAAGAATGATTAAACTTTCTAATTACATTTAGCTAATAAACAATGGGGTCTCACTCAGAAACATCGTCAGTTAGTTCACTCCATGTTCTTTCCTCTTAAGTATATAAAAGTGGGGAGTTAGCACAGGATCCTAAATTTATACTAGTTTGTAAAGGACTTATAACAATTCTTTCTGAAAGCTAGAGTTTGAAAGAATACTTGTATTAGAAAGGAAAAGAGGCCCAAAACAGATCTCAAAAAAGATTCATCTGGTTAAGTTTTCTGCCCCGGGGCAGATTTTAAGAGAGTTCATTCACAACTCTAAGCGCAGTCATTTACAATATGGGTATAACGGAATATACAGTGATTCTCATGGTATCAGGTGAGGCAAAGATTCGCAAAGCTCGGCCTTCACCTGCAACAGTCATTTCTGCTGAGGCTTTCAACTTACTTCTGCAGACCAGGGAACATGTGATGAATATCTTCACAAATCCTGTTACCAGTGGGTAGGATCTCACAATCTTTCCTATATAAACTATCTATAATAATATATTATTACATATTTTGATTGTGAATGTTGAGATATCCACTCATATTTTAGAAATCTAAATTTTAGTACCTTGCACTTTGAATTGGGTAATTCAAAGTAACAGATATCTTAATTCTTCTTATAATTATTTACTTTTAAAATACTAGCGGCATTTTAGAGAGTTCTAAGATTTTCCCATTAAGTTTGCATCAAAGTTTAAAAACAGCATGAAATACAAAGGAAGTTACTTGAAATTTCTAACATATAGTACTTCAGTGCACTTAAAATAATTTCATTCAGATATTATATGTCTATCTTCTAGTATCACTCTGGAATTGCTATGGGGAAAAAAAACCTGCTCCCCATGAGTCTTTGGGGATACAGGAAATAAGTAATGCCAGCACTATTTACGGCTTGTTACCTAAGAGCTAACATCTGGAAGCAAATCCAGAAAGCTTAGCAGTATTGGGTAAGAAATATTTGGGTGATAATAACCTCCCCTCACCATTGATTAATGTCAGATAATTTTATTCCACATCTTCCAAATAACTGCCCCCAGGGACTCCTTCCCCTTCCAGGGCAAAATGCCAGCTTTTGAATGGGAGACTCCAGTTCACATTTCAGCCCTGAACTTTGCAGGAGCCAGGGTTTCAGTCTCATTCCCTCATGTATGAGGGGAAAAAATACCCCTTCTCCAAGGCTGCAGAGGGAGTGAATGAGAGGACCCTTAGAACAAATGGGAGGTGCCAAATCATACACTACTTACATCTTCACTTAGGGAAGATCAGGTGCAAAGGGAGCAAGTGGGTTGATTTTAGATCCTTGGATGGGTAAGTTTACTCAAACCTCCCCTTAACAATACACTCATTCAACCAACTCTGCCAGTTGAGCCAAAGGCTGAAACCGATGACCTGACATGGACCTGTTACTTTACACATAAAAGGGTGTTTGAAAAGGTAGGCAGAGCCAGCAATGGAGAGGAGCAGAGAGTCTTCACAACAATGTGCCTGGAGGCAGGAGATCCTCTGATTCTCCAGGAATCACCAACACTCCAGGGAGTCATTCCAGCCAAAACTGTGCCCTCCTAACCTTGTCCTTTGAAGGAACATGTTTTCCGTGCAGCTGGAGGCTGTGCTAGAGACAGAAGGGTCCTGCTAGGTGACCCGGTGTTTACAGCCTAACTTTTTTAAAGAGGAATTTGGAAAAATTCCCAGATACTACATCTGCCCCAAGCCCCAGCCCCTCAGAGTCTGAGGCCGGCTGGCGGGACGGCACAGAGGACTAAATTTATTAAGGGTGGATGGGCCACTCTATCTTTCACTGCCATGACAGGAGGTGAGCCCCTCAAAAGTGTGTCTGCTGGCTGGCCGGCAGATCAAGCTGTCATGCTCACACAGGCGACACCCAGCTGCTTTCTCTGAGAAGAAACACGTCGCCAGCCCCGGGAGCACCAGAAAGGCGCGTCTACTTCTGTTTGAGAAAATGTCTTTTAACTTCTCATCCACAGGTTCTTTCCCACGTACCCTTTATTCTTCTTTTGTCTTTCCTTTCTTTGACATTTATGAATATGAAGCAGAACTTGGGCCTTGGAGGGGAGCTCAGTGGTTGACTTTCTAATTCTCTGAGATGAATTTGAGGTACTAGGCCAGTAGGTAAGCATGAATTAATCTCAATCCCTGTTGCTAGGACATAATCATGGTTCATTACAAATGTACATCAGCAGCCAGCCTCACTTAAAAGCAACTATTTATTACTTTAGGTAAAAATAAACCAACGCTATTTGAGTTACATTATATACCCTAATTCCATTCCATTCCATCTATACATTACAGAATTGCGACTTGACTTTTAAGAGGAGATTAATATCATTATGAGCTTGTAGAATAATATATATATATTATACTTTATATTTTTTAATTGGGTAAATGATAGATGCTCCATAAGTAGTTTTCCATATCATAGTAAAAATAGGTTTTTTAAATTACAATTCAGAGAGGTAACAAGATTTCCAGAAGGTTGTGGCACCAATAATATGACAAGTTGAATGAAGCCAATGAGTCAGAGCCAAACTGTGAGGGTCAGCTCCTGTCTGTATTTACACTTTTGATATTTTCTTGGGTATATTTGGCACTGGCTTTCATTTTTAATATTTCACTAAATATTATTTATATTGATTCCTGAATTTTTATGCTGGCTTTAGAGTTTGTACAGGAAGCTACTTACCTAACTCCAGTCTAGGCCCATAAAAGGTATGATTCTCTTAAAATTTACATTTCCTATAGCACTCCCCAAAGAACACGGGGTTCTGACAATTGTTATGCACACACATACATATTCACAAACATCCCTATATCAAATACATGGTGTTAGGAACACTTGGCTAAGTCAGTTAGTTTGCTTGTGATTCTACAGCTTTTAATAGCCTGGTATGTATTGAGAGTCTCCAGCATCACGGCCCTTCTCACATACTCACTTGCCCACACAACACCATTCAGAGAGCACGTGAGATACTCTGAGGAACAGGCGGTCTGCCCTGTCTTGTCTAAGCATCATTACAGTGCTCATGTCGACCATTACTTTCTTTTTCCTTTCTTTCTTTCACTAACCCACATTTTTCTCCCATGAGCATGTTGGCACGATGAAACTACAGTTATCAAAGAACTGAATGAGTATTTCTGTAACAGGCACAGGACCTTCACTGTACAGGGATATCAAAATGATAGAAAACACTTTCAAGCCCAGTTCCTCTTAAATAAAATGATGTCAAGTACACTTACCAGTAGAGACTGCCTTGATGGGGTGGGTGGTTCTGGGAAAGTCATCATATCCTTTTCCTATGTAATGGACTTGTTGCATCATGGTGGCCCTGGAAGCCAGAAGGGATGTCTCTCTCCTTCCCAGCAGATAAGGAGGTGAGGGTCCATGCAATTCTTGTGGGGCAAGCCACCTGTTCTGGATGGTTGTGTTGTTAATGCCACCCACCAGAGGGGGCCTCAGGTTGGCAGGTGCTAAGTAGTGGAAAACACTTGTCAGATTCAGCATTTTTGATTTCTATCTCAAGACACTGACAGTCACACATATGCACACTTGTGTGCATCACATTCAAAATCCAATCGGCCATGGTCCTCAAGTATTTATATTGACTTGGGAAATTCAAACACAATAGAGTTTATCTTCACTGGGACTTCACATAACTTAAATAACTAACAAGTACTTAAAAATAATATTGATGATTAAGTAACATTTCTCGGTGTGAATAATTTCTCTGTTCTTTCTTGCTAAACAACAAACATTATTTTAGTCTGCTGGTGACCAACCCAGACTCCTTGTGCCAAGCAAGCTCTATAGATTCTGTGCCTTCCCCTTTTGCTAGAGAATTCCCTCTAGGCAGTGTGGGGCTGCCTCACCCAGGAGTTACGAATACCCCCATCCTACACTTGAGACCTGCCAAAAGTGAATGACTAGCACTGATCACAAGGGCGCACCCCTTGCTCACATGGTATCAAGTCACGTTGCAATTTACTAGGTCAAGGAGAGGACTGAAATGAACAAACGGACCCGGGAGTCGGAGGAAAACTTGTCCCGGTCAATGGTGACGGATCTATGAGAGCCAGTGAGTGATGCAGAGATAATGATCTACACTTGCCAAACCATTTATTGTTTAAAAACAACCCCCCCACAAAAAAAGTCATGAATTTTTCTCATTTTAAAAGTAAATACAGGGTTAAGTGTCAAGAGATAAACAAAGAACAGTCAGGAAATCTAAGAAATTATCCACTTGAAGGACAGACTGTGAGATCTGGGGATTATACACCTTAGTTCAGACACAGGGAAGTGCCTCGGCCCTTAGGTCACCTCCACCCCCAGAGCCTCCCGAGCATAAGGTGTTTGGGGTCCACATGGACTCTGGGGCCTTGGCAAGTCTTTGGAGGCTCCTAGGAAACCTCAGGAGGGACAAAGATCAGGAGTTCCCCTTACAACCAACCTGAAAGAGAATTAACCTAGCAACTGAGTTACTGAAGAGGAGTTTAGGTAGGCTGAAACTCAAATTCAGTCCACATGTGTCAGCTGAATTTGAGCATAAAAGTGAAGAAACAAATGTCATAATCAACAAAAAGATTAGGATGCAAACTCAGGATTTATAATTTACACCTGTGTTAACACAGCCTTATTTGGTGGTTGCAATGGATGCAGATTAATATGATGCAAGTACAAGCACTGGCACCATTACACATGAAAGGGAATTCACCTTAGAACAGCTCAGAAAAGTTACATTTTGTTAGTTTCTAGAAAGGTCTGCCAGTGGCCCTCCCTAGTGGTGCAATGGGTGAGTATGCAACACTGCAAGCTAGCTGCAGCCACTTCAGTGTAAATTCAATCCCCAGCTCTGAAGGTGACCCACATGGCACAGCAGATCTCTCCTGCCACCCACTACTCCCCTCAGCAGTGTACTCCATCGATCTGCCTGTCCTGTTCCCCACTCTGCCTCTGGTGAATCTTCTCACCGCTCCTGTGTCTCTGGCCTGTACTCCAGTTCTGGATGCAAAAATAAATCTTTAAAAAAATAATAAAAATAAAAAACATCTGCCAGCTTTCCAAAGAGAAACAATTAGTTATGTTTCTATTTTAACTTTTAGTAAGGAAGAGAGGGCACTGAGCAAAAAGGTTCAGCAACTTAAAAAGATAATTAACAATTCTACCAGCGTAAACCATGTGATATTAAAAATTTTTATGTATATATGAATCTGTCAAATTTATGCACCACTTCCCTTAGTATTCCTGGCCAAAAATTAGCTAAATGGTGGGTTCTCAAAGATTTCATCCTGCAAACTATGATACCGCTTCAAAATAACCCAAAACAAATACGAAGTTAAGTCATCCAGAAATTTCTTGTCTCATTTTCTCCTCAGAGTTTGGAGTTCCACCTTTGTATTCACAGACAGATTATGGATGATGAATTTTACTGGGGAAAAAGGACTGTCAAAGATTCTGATTCCTGGGCTCAGGGAAGCAAAGGAGGAACAAATACATAAGTGCTTTAATTGTCCAAAAGTTTGAGTTCTTTGATTATATTGCCTGTATTAAACTGAAGAATGCTTAGGTTTTTTTAATAGAGGGGAATGAACTTTTCACTAAAATTGCCACCTATCTCAGCAATATCCAATAGAAATTTCTCTAATCATGGATCCTTTCTAAATCCATATTATACGGTAGCAACTAGCCACATCCAACCATTGAGTAATGAATATGTGGTGACACTGAGGAATGAAATTCCAAATTTAATTTTATTTTCAAGTTGTATTTGGTTAACATATTGGATAAGTAAGACCTAAAAAATCATAAATTATATCTATCAAGGGGTGTTAAGAATAAGATTTCCATTTTAACTAAATATTTGGATATATTAATAAGCTTCCTAAACTTAATAACTGAAGATTTTGTTCTTCTAGCTTACCCCTCAAGGTTCCATTTGACATTTGATAATCCTTTACTCCAACCGCCCAGCTGGATAAGGATAATGATGATGATTTATATCCAGAATCCTTTCCCCACTGATGACATACATCAAAAATCACTTCTTAACGGAGTTAAAAAAATGGAATTTGAACAATTAGGTGAGTTTTTATTATCGTATTTTTGATTTTAAATATCTCAAAGTGAGAGTGCACTTTTTTTTTATTTGTAATTATAATCAATAAGGACACTCTTGCATTCAGAACCTACTAAAATTAATGTTAAGGATTTAAATTCCAACCAAAAGTGGAGTCCTTTTAGATCTGCAGGAAAATTATTCCACCAAACAATTAGACCATTCTTAGGAAGTCAATTTCAGAGAATGAGTTGTACTAGACTGTAGATTTTTTTGTTGTCTTGCTTAAAAAAGCCAAAGAACCTCCCAGCTGGTATGCTGCAGTTTACGTGGGGGAGTTAAACTAGAGGATTTGAAAGGGTGAACGCCCTACTGAGTCATTATCTTTAGAGTTCCCCTAAGAACAGAGGGGGGATTTGCTATCAAATGAAACTGGTCACACACTCATAAACAGCAGGACGAACAGAAAAAGATATTCCTGAACACCAACAGAATCACCAGGAGATAGGAGAACAAAAGATTGCCAGGTTATCAAAATAAAAGGCTTAAAGGTATAAACTTGTTAATAGCAAGAGAGTAAATTAAGAAACATAGACTAATGGAAAGGTCTCTGCAGATTTCTAGACATAGCATTTCATTTTTAAATTCCCAATTCTGCACAAGTTTTGAAAAAAAAACACAAGACATATATCTGCCTCAGTTTTCCTATTTACAATGTAGCTTACGTTTTCAGTGAAATATAATGACAGTAACTACTTTTAGAAATTAATATACTTAATTGCTTTAGATTTTACAAAGCCAATTTTTTTGCAAATACAAGGCATTATTATTACAAGTATTACTAGTCAATAACGCATATTTCAAATAATAGTATAAAAGGATACAATTTGTCAACATTAAAAACTTATCTGTATTTACTTAGAATACCCTCTTATAAATGTAAAGTGTAAGATGGATCTTTCATATCCATCACTCAATGAAAAAGCCTATAAAGTCTATCTCCACTTGGAAGAAAATTGTGATGTTCTTTACTTTTTTTTTTGCAATAGCTTTGTAATCCACTGTCTAATCTAGCTTTTCTAGTTGTAAATATTCTTTTATAAATTGCTCTGATAATATACATTTTCTTTATGCAGCATTTATTGCTTTATAATCTGATTAATAGCATATCATAATGCAAAAATTTACACTTACAAATTTTATGTAGTGTGGAGTTTGAGCATTATAGAAAAGAACTGAAGCTTCAATGAACAGGAGCTCTTGCTGATGACAGGCCTGTAAAGTCTAATCTCTTTGTTTTCAAGGAAGAGATTGTTGACTATGAGGATGGCACGGCTACATCAGTTCTTTAAAACAACATTCAATTTTGAAGACAGGAATCCAAAATAAACAATTTGTCTATGTTTCACAGGTGTGTAAGCAGAAAACTAAGAGAAAGCATTCTCAGATACCTTATTGATATGAAATGATCCTGGTTTGTTGACAGAGATGAAAAAGTGACCCTGGACACACAATTTGCCAAACACTGTTAGTCCAAAGCACCTATGAAAGGGCTTTGGACCCAGAACATGAAGGAGAATTCTAGGTTAAGAAGCCATTATGTTCCATTAGATTTTACCCTACAGCACTGTCCTTGTGTTAGTATCCAGAAGAGGAATGTCTTCCCCCAGAGTCTAACTCTCAGAGCTAACTCAGTGTTGCCTTGCTAACTGACCAACCTAACTTGGGGGAAAAAAAAAAGAACAAAATCTACTTTTCCATCTACTTCTTTGTATACCAGTTTCCTTCATGAGAGAGTGGGACTTAACTGCAAAGGAGCAAACTTCGGTTATTGTTCGACTCCAGTTATGGGAACACTGGCTAAATATATTGCTGAAACCATGATGATCACGGTGCTTGCTCTTTCCTGTTTCTGCTTGTCTTACCTAACCCTAGTTTAAAACAGAAATAAACAGACATTTTTAGAAGTTCACAGCTGTGTTTTAGAAAACAGACCCAGAGGAACATTTGCTGCCCTCAACATAATTTCTCACCTATCTGGTATGCAAATGCCATGGGAAATGAAATGAAGGTGCCTGCTTATAGGTTAATGGACATTTCAAACTTTGCAGTGTTCAGATTCACTATAGTTCTGGACCTGACTTCAAGGTATACCATAATTAAGCAGAAAGCAGCCACCAGAAACTACCAACTTGCATTTTTTTATAAGTTCATTTTTACATCATTTTGTACATTTTTTTTCTTTCGCAATTGTAATCCCCATGGGTTTCCCATCACCAAGTGTGTGCCATCACCATAATCCCGTGCACTTCCCTCCCCATCCTCCCATTTTTGATCCCATTCCCCACTCCACCCCGCAGAATGTCTCTGGTATATGGCTGCTCATTATTTTTGTTATTTTCTCGCCTGGTCCATTCT